TTTAAACTGATCAGTCTTACCTGGTGATTAGGGTGATAGAGGCCCTGCACGGAACCTGAGTGATACGGCGGACCATCAGTTAAACTAACTGAAACTTCTTGCATTTGAAGTCCCTGGCAAAAATGAGTTGTATAGATCAGCCTTGATCGAAATAATTCACTACTTTATTTTTTATCATTGTATGCACTACCTTAAAAATCGCAAACGTCCGGGAGTTGTACACTTACAAAAAATTACAAAGGCAGCAGGAAATTTAGGATTCAAGATCATTGCTATTTTAGGGCACGGATCCGAAAAAACGTAAACCTGGGGTCGATTTAATAAAACTTTTACAACTGTAATTTACAAGTTTAGCTATTGTTTTCAGACTCTAAAACACTGGCTACACTTGTAAAAGTTTTATTAAATTGACACCTGATAACAATATGAGGCCCCCCAAAAAAACAATAATGATTAAAAAAACCGTCGTTACGAATCGCTCCGTGTAACATCGCCTTCAGTATTCATTTCGGATCGTTTGTTTCTTTCGTCGCAACCGAATCAAAAGATTTGTGATATCAAGAATCTAATGCTCCATTCTTCCAAAGAAACGCAACCAAACCTTCTATTACATCTTCATGATTCCTAGTTTGCCTACATTTACCCCACGTAAGGGAATCCAAGACAGTCTTGAACTCTGGATTCCACAACGTGGATTCCGGATTCTTGGTAGGTGGAACTTGGATTCCGAATTCCAATCGTTGGTGGGATTCCAGATTCCTTGAGGTGTAATGCGGATTCCAAAACACAGGATGCGGATTCCACGAGCAAAATTATCTCGGGTTCCCTTACATGAGGCAACTGAATGTTCCCAAACCTTACTACTTTCACTCCGCTCTCAAAAATTCCACCATATACAATGAAATCTACGAAGTCATGAAGTTATTTCTGATTGTGTTGGACCTCATAACAAGATACAGAAAAATTATGTAAAAAAAGACACTAATCTAATGTGACTGCGCGATGCGGTAGTTCTGTCAGCCCACAATTGACCTGCTCACCACTGAGTTCTCAGTAGCTCAGTGGTTAGAGCATTCGACTAGTGTACGAAAGGTCGTGGGTTCAATTCCCATCTGGAACTCAGAATTTTTTTCTGTGTCCTTTTCTCCACACATATCATTTCATTTACTATACTAATCTAAAGAACAGCAAAAAAAGTAAAAAAAAAAAAGCCAACAAACACGTTTCCACGGTCGTACGAATATCGGTCCAGTGATCTCCTGTTGTGTGAAGCATGTTTCATTTGTTTCAGTTGGTCTGGTTTCCATGCAATAAAACCATTTTATAACAAAGGAAATGTCAAGCAATAAAACACGCAAGAAAAACCCGTTAGGGTCGGGAATATGGAACAAAATAGCAGCAAGATCGAGCAGATAGAAGAAAGAAAGAGAAGAGCACTTTCCAGAATGCTTATTATTTCATTTATTTTATTATTTATTAAATCAGCTGTTAGGTAAGCCCTATGCACCCATCAACAAAAATAATTTCTTGTAGACAAACCTGTTGTATTGTGAAAAAAGAAAGAAAAATTCACTCATTGTTAATTAAGGTGCAATAAAGGACGGACGGATGCATGAAGGTTCGATCTGGTGTGCTGGAATGAAGTTTGATGCATAAGGCTTACCATTGGTTTAAAGAGTTAGATTAAGACATAAAAACGTCACTGATTTTATTCGTTAGTATTAAACACGACTGAAAGTTTAAAATTACTTGAAAATAATGGGCGTTTTAAAGGAAGAAACGTTTAAAGTTAGCAGAGTAGATGAGTTTTAAGTTCGTTAATAGCAGAAGGGACGAACTCTTGGCTGGATAACCAGTGACCTGGACAAAGTTACTGTCACCAACAGAATGTTTACGTGCAAGATTACGCGCTGGAGTAAGAATTAAATATTTCAGTTTATACCTCTCCTAATTCAGGGTCGTTTTCTCGTCGTAATTTCTGGAACATAGATCCGCCAACAAAGCGACTCAGAACAGTTCCCTGAGAAATTAACGCCAGTTGACAGTGATGAGGAAAAATAAATTAAACCAGAAAAGGCAATAGGGCTCGGTGCGTGTAGCCATTCTAGGCGAGGGGAGCAAATGAGTCTACTGA